AGCCAAGGGAGCTGATATCCTAAAAATGTACGTTTTACGAAGGGAATGGGGCCATTTTGGTCTCCCGGGGCGCTCTTGGGGGGCCTCTTGGAGGCCTCTTGGGGCGGTTTGATGGCCTCTTGGCCCTTCTGGAAGCGATCTTTTGCGGTCTTGAAGCGATCCTGGGGTTCTCTCGGCGCTCTTGGAGCCTTCTTGGGCGGACTGGGCAGCCCGGGGGCCGCCGGAGGAGCGTCCCGGGAGGCCCTCCTGGGCCGTCTTGGGGCTGTCCTCAGTCGTCCTGGAGCGTCCTTGGGCGCCTCGTGGGGCTTTCGGGCCGCTCCGACAGCTAAGGGAGCTGATATCGTAAAAATGTACGTTTTACGAAGGGAATGGGGCTATTTTGGTCTCCCGGGGCGCTCGTGGGGGGCCTCTTGAAGGCCTCTTGGGGCGGTTTGAGCGCCTCTTGACCCTTCTGGAAGCGATCTGTGGCGGTCTTGAAGCGATCCTGGGGTTCTCTCGGCGCTCCTGGAGCCCTCTTGGGCGGGCTGGAACGCGCGGGGGCCGCCGGAAGGGCGCCCCGGGAGAGGGCCGCACCCTATATACAAGGGAGGTTCCGGCCCGGGGCCCGGGGCCCGGGATCTCCCATATATGTATATATATGGGAGATCCCGGGCCCCGGGCCCCGGGCCGGAACCTCTCTTAGGGCGCGGCCCTCTCCCGGGGCGCCCTTCCGGCGGCCCCCGCGCGTTCCAGCCCGCCCAAGAGGGCTCCAGGAGCGCCGAGAGAACCCCAGGATCGCTTCAAGACCGCCACAGATCGCTTCCAGAAGGGTCAAGAGGCGCTCAAACCGCCCCAAGAGGCCTTCAAGAGGCCCCCCACGAGCGCCCCGGGAGACCAAAATAGCCCCATTCCCCCCGTAAAACGTACATTTTTACGATATCAGCTCCCTTGGAGCGGCCAGAAAGCCCCACGAGGCGCCCAAGGACGCTCCAGGACGACTGAGGACAGCCCCAAGACGGCCCAGGAGGGCCTCCCGGGACGCTCCTCCGGCGGCCCCCGGGCTGCCCAGTCCGCCCAAGAAGGCTCCAAGAGCGCCGAGAGAACCCCAGGATCGCTTCAAGACCGCAAAAGATCGCTTCCAGAAGGGCCAAGAGGCCATCAAACCGCCCCAAGAGGCCTCCAAGAGGCCCCCCAAGAGCGCCCCGGGAGACCAAAATGGCCCCATTCCCTTCGTAAAACGTACATTTTTAGGATATCAGCTCCCTTGGCTGTCGGAGCGGTCCGAAAGCCCCACGAGGCGCCCTAGGATAGCCCGAAGACAGCCCAGGAAGGCCTCCCGGGACGCTCCTCGGGCGGCCCCCGGGCCTCCCAGTCCGCCAAAGAAGGCTCCAAGAGCGCCGAGAGAAGCCCAGGATCGCTTCAAGACCGCCAAAGATCGCTTCCAGAAGGGACAAGAGGCCATCAAACCGCCCCAAGAGGCCTCCAAGAGGCCCCCCAAGAGCGCCCCGGGAAACCAAAATGGCCCCATTCCCTCTCGTAAAACGTACATTTTTAGGATATCTCATCCCTTGGCTGTCCGAGTCCCTTAGGTCCTGAGATAGCTCACAGAAAGCACACCAATGCTCGCTGATGGCGGACAGGTCAGCGGAAGAAAAGGAAGTGGTTGCAGACCGCTAGTGTGTCCGTCAGTGGGAAGTCCAGGGAGAGTAGCTCGCTCCAGGAGGAGGGAAAAGGCACACAAACAAACACTCTTGAAGGGGCCCGCGGCCCAAAGTCCCCGACGATCATGGACGCTTCTGGGGCCTTTTTCGGAGCCCAGAGGGCCCCAAAACGGGCAAAGAGGGCGCCACGATGCCCCAAGACGGTCCAAGAGAGCTCCGAGTCACCGAAAGATCGCTTCAAGACGCCTAAGATGGCCTCAAGACGGCCCAAGAGGCCCCCAAAACTTCCCCAGAGAGCCCCAAGAGCACCCCCCAAGAGGCCCCCACAATTCAACAAGCTGCTTTTTCTAAGTTCTCGCATCGTTTAGCGTTGTCGCCCTTCCGGGCTTCACGGCGGTCCACGAGATGTTCACACATCGGTTGGCGTCCTTCGGTTTTTCCACTAAGTTTAGGGTTGACGCTCCACGGTAGCCCAAGGTGCCCACAAGATGTGGCCCCAAGACCGCCCAAGGGGCTCCAGGAGGGACCCAAGGCGGCTCAAGACGGCCCGAGAGGCCCCAAGAGGAGTCCAAGAAAGAGAACTTGAACTGACACTTCGAAGCTTGCGCCACAAGATGACCCGCAAGACCGCCAGCTGGCCTCCAAGAGGCCCCGGAGGCCCCCAAGATGTCCATATCAGGCCTCAAGAGGCCCCCGAGATGCCCCAAGACATACCAAAACCGCCTCAAAGAGGCTTCCGAGAGGCCTCTCGAGAGATCCCCACAGGCATGCCTCTGACCCACATCCCAGTGGGGGGGGGCGGAATTGGCCGAAGGCCAACAAATGTGCGCGTTTATATAAATGAAACGGGAAATTGGCTGTGAACCTGTCTCGCTAGAAATATGAAGCCGTTGAGTTACTCACGTGACGTCTGGACATTTGGCCAAACGTGCAGCCTGCCGCCGCACCTGCACAGCATCACGTGGAGTGTCGCCATGGTGTTGGTCAACACTCCGGCGCAGTGTGTGTGTCTGTGTGTGCCTAAATTTAGGTCGGGCATGTCCCCCTACAGGCGGATTTTGGACGAAAAGTTAAAAACACTCCGAACATGTCCCCGAATACTCGGCAAATCATCGAAAAATCGCCCCCCAGACTATGTTTGGACCATTTTTGAATATTCCTCCTGTCGAGGAACAGGCCCGACTTAAGCCTAAGTTTATGTCGGGCCTGTCCCCCTACAGGGGGATTTTCGACGAAAAATAAGAAACACCCCAAAAATAGGCAAAAACAGATTCAAAAATAATCTGGGGACTACTTTTGGGGTATATTTTGGCCTTTTTGGAACATTGTTGGGGTATTTTTTGTTCTTCGTCGAAAATCCACCTGTAGGGGGGCAGGCCCCACTTACGCCCGAATCCCGGGAGCGGCGGGGGAGCGCGCCGCCTGCTGCGGAGCGCCCTTGGATGCTCACTCCGGGGACCTTCCTGGAAGCACTCGCCCCATTCTCGCGTCGCAGTTGCGTCGAACGTCCGTCGATCTGCGTCGACCCCGAATCGAACCTGAGTCGAAGAGCGCGTTTCTTTACGATCGGCGATGACGGGCGTCATGGGGGGGGAGGAGCCCGGGGGGGGGGGGATAACGCAACGCCCCCCCCCCGCCGTGTGGCTCCGGCCCCACAGCCGCGCCCGCGCGCACGACGACGATGTGCGACGAGCGACGGGCGACGAGCGACGACGACGACGACAACGACGTGAGCAGCATGTAGGTGGCGATCTGCCCCACAGCGCCTGTGTACACCACAGTGCTCGCGTGCACCACAGCGCTTGTGTACACCACAGCGCTTGTGTACACCACAGCGCCTGCGTACACCGCAACAGCCGTGTGCAACGCAGCGCCCGTGTACACCACAGTGATTGCGAGCACCACAGCGCGGGTGTACACCACAGCTTTTGTGTACACCGCAGCAGCCATGTGCAACACAGCGCCTGTCTACACCACAGTGCCTCCGTGCACCGCAGCGCCTGTGCACACCACAGCGCCTGTCCACATCACAGCATCTGCGTGCAACGCAGGGCTGGTGTACACCAGAGCGCCTGCGTGCACAGGACAGGTAGAAGGAGCATGTCGGTGAGGATCTGCTGCGGACAGCTAAACGCCATGCCAGGGAAGTGCTGATAAGAGAATGCGACGTTTCTCCCTCCTCCCTCCTCCAATTCCGCCTCCTCCCCCTCTTCCGTCCTCCTCCTCCCTCACCCTTCCACCCTGTCGTGCGGGTCGGCGCTACAGCGCACGTGCGCATCTCAGCGTGCACCTCAGAATGATGTACTGAATCAGTCCAGTTGGTTCTCGGACGGCCAATCTAGCTGGAGACTCCCAGACGCAGATGGAAGGCGTTAGGATGATGCAGGCGGACTCCCGAGGACTCGTAGATTCCAGCGGCGCTCCTTTTTCCATAAGGATTCCTCGCCGTATCCTATACAAAACATTCGTTTTCTGCTGAGCCCACAGGTGCTCCATTTTGTCATAGGGATTCCGTATCACATTCTATATACAGCAGAGGTGTTTTGCTGCACGCAGTTGCTGTGGTGCACACGGGCGCCGTGGTGTACACAGGTGCTGTAGTGCACGCAGGCATTGTGGTGTACACTGGTGCTGTATTGCACACGGCTGATGTGGTATACGCAGGCGCTGTGGTGTACACAAGCGCTGTGGTGCCAGCAGGCACTGTGGCACACACTGGCGCTGTGTTGCACGCGGCTGCTGTGGTGTACATAGGCGGTGTGGTGTATACAAACGCTGTGAAACACGCAAGCACTGTGGTGTACAAAGGCGTTGTGGTGCAGATCGCCACCGACATGCTGCTGCTACCCGTCCTCGGTCATTCCTAAGCATTCCCAAACGCCGCCGTCGCGAAACGTGACGTCATCGCCCCCCCCCCAGATGATTGCCGTCATCGGCCCGGTATGTATGTTTAACTTATATCTATATATCTATATATATACACATAAAAAATGCTCCAGCTGCTTCCGCGCGCACGACGACGATGAGCGACGACCGACGAGGGACGAGCGACAACGACGACGACGACGACGACAACTGCGGACCAGACTCCTATGCAAATTCCTATGCGGACACCTATGCGGATCACGTTGCGCACGGCGGCAATGCCCGGAACGTACTGGGGGGGGAGCGTTACATCATGGGGGGGGGGGCGGGGGCCATGACGCCCGTCATGCCCCAAGCAAAGAAACGGGCTCGAACCTGGGTCGAACTTGAATCGAATTTGAGTCGACCTGGGGTGGAACTGGAATCGAACAGATCTGTCAGGTGGGCCCCAGGAAGGTCCCCCAAACGAGCATCTGAGTTCCAGGTGCACACTGATCACGACCAGTTCGTGTAGGAGCGCCGGAGCCGCCAGCGCAAGACAAAGTAAGCGAGAATGCGGCTGAATACCAGGAACAGAACGAGCACGGTCTGTTCCAGCAGGGGCGTAGCGTCCACTGGAGATGTGGCCACCTCGATTCCCCGCAAGCGCAGGTCGTCGATGATGCCGGACATCTCAATGAAGCACGACGACTGGCCCGCCCTTGTATCTCCCATGACGTTCGGGTGGCACTCGTACGTGTTCATCCATGACAGGCTGGCTCGAAGGAGGCCCCGGAACGCATAGGTGGTCACGCTGACGGACCCATACCACGCGATAGAATGAGGCATCGTGCGGTAGAAGCCGCCCGCGACCAGAGTCGTCTGGGCAAACGCAGTGGCGAGGGCCATCGCAGCATCGACGTCGGGCAATAGGACTGAGATCAGCACGCCGAGGCTCTGGTAGGTGACAGCGCAAAGCACCACAAGCACGACCATATTGAAGAAAGATACCGGGTCTTGGCCAGAGTCCGTCATGGCAAAGACTACCACGCCGTAGAGCGTCGGCCAGATGCTGTGGAGGACCACGTCCACAACAGATGTCGCGGCGGCGAAGGGCCCCACCGTCAAGATCCCTTTCTTCAGCTCGGCATCGACCCGATGGAGCCGCAAGCGCGTCCGCATGATGGCGCCATAGAGCGGCGTGAAGGTCCACAGCGTCGTGGTGTAGAAGCACAGGGAGACCGACTCACGCAGATCCCTCTGCTTCGTCCCGCTCGCGACTCCGAAGTACAGCCACCCGACGATGAGAGAGATCGCGGCGTACTGCGCCAGCTGGTGAAGGCTGAGCACCACGGGCAGCTCCTGCATCAGCTCCCGGCGCAGCAGGAGCTGGAACTGCCTCCTGGCCGAGACCTTCTGGCAGGGCAGCGCCTCCGCGTCCGCGGACGCCGCCGCAGTGCGATCGAGTCGATCCTTCCAGGTCGCGGAGCACTCGGCGGCGTGCCCAGGCTTTGCCTCCTCGAGGTCGTACACCGCCTTGAGGAAATGGTCGCTGGCCGTCCAGCCGGGCGGGATGGGCCTCCCGAGCTCCGAGGCGCAGTAGCCGGCCGCCTGCTCGGGCGAGCCGAAGAACACCTGGCGCCCGCCATGCAGCATCATGACCAGGTCGAGCTCGTCGAACACCTGCGGCGTGACGGTGTGGAGCGTCATGATGCTGGCAGAGCCGTTTCTGCGCAGCGAGGCCTTGACGTTCCTGAAGAGCTGGAACGTGGTGTTGCTGTCGAGGCCGCTGAAGGGCTCGTCGAAGATGCACAGCAGCGAGGGCTTGATCATCTCCATGGCCACTGCGACCCTCTTCTTCTGCCCGCCACTGAGCATCGAGATGGGCTTGTCCACAAGGTTCCCGAGGCCGAAATTTGGGGCGTGCGCTCTGGCTTGGAGCCTCGCTGCGGCTGGGTCGAAGTTGAGCGAACGTATGGCCACGTGGAATGCGAGGAACTCCATCACCGTGAGGTTCTCGGGGAGCAGCTCGACCTGCTGGCAGTACCGCACAGCCTCGCTGATCCTGGCAGGGTCGACCGAGGCGGCGACGTTGCCCTTGATGAGGAGTGTCCCGCTCGCGCGGGCACCGCCTCGCAGGCCGCGGTTGGCCAACACATCGAGGAGCGTCGTCTTGCCCGACCCTGACCTCCCAATCAAGCCCATCAGCTGCCCCGGTCGCAGCTCCCCGTGGCAGTCGCACAAGAGCTTCTCCCCGAGCTTCGTCGTTACGCTGAGGTCCCTCCAAGAGACGGCTGGCGTTGTCTCGACGTCCACGATCGCTTGGATCGCTTCCCCATGTTCGTCCTCATAGAACGACGCCCTTTTGTGCTTCGCCAGTTTTGCACCACCCTTGAAGAACAACTTATCCCATATTCTCCTCTTGTTCAGGATCCACCACCGCGCGTTGTGCACGCTGAGGCGTGGAAGATCTCCTAGGTTTGTCTGGCAGGGCTCCCGCATTCAATCAAGGGCACACACCCTCCCCTGCCAGGATTATCTGCGTGCATCGCCGGCCTCCACGATCCTGGATACGGTGGGGGCATTGGATAGGGAAACCGTCGACAAGGAATCCAGGGCCTGGAAGCCAGTGGAAAGCCAATCGTGGCTTTGCCATGGGTATCACCGCCGCCTTCATCAGATCAGACAACGACACCCCCAGGGTTTGAAGCCTCCTGGGCAGATTCCTTCACCAATGCGCCCGCCGTTTAGACAACGACGGGCCCGCGCTCATGAGGCCACGGCCCCTCGCAAAAGGACAAGAAGCATCCGCGCCCCGAGTTTCCAGGACGGTTCAGACAGGCAACCAGGGACTCAGTGGGCCGTGGAAACGACAGGGCCGTTTTTTTATCGGTTCCGTTTTGCCGTCTTTGCTGCTGGTTCCGACGCCGTTTTTTTACTGGTTCCGTCGCCGTTCTTTTGCGGGTTCTCGCTCCGGTTCCAATCCTGCAGCCGTTTTTGTTGCCGTTTCCGGTCGCCGTTTTCTTGCCGTTTCCACTTTCAAGGGCCATTTTTTCGGAAACGGTGAAAAAACGACCCTTCCGTTTCTGGGGCCCACTAAGACCAGGGATACCGAGATGGCCCAAGACGCCCCGAAGATGGCCCAAGCTGGCCCCCAAGGCAGCCCGATGTGGCTTCAAGGCGGCCGAAGACATCTCCAAGAGGGCCCAAACGGGCCACGAGCGGACCTCCAACAGGGTCCGACAAAACCACAAGCATTGATTTCCCGTGTGCTCTTGAATGACTGTGGAATTATCGTTTTTTCTTGTTTCCGTCAGCTGAAGGCGGCCCAGGGAGTCTACACGATGGCCCCATGACGACCCCAAAGGCACCCAAGAGGGTTCCAAGACGGCCCATGATGGCCCATGAAGCAGCCAAGACGGCCCCAAAACGACCCAAGAGGGCTTCTCGTGAGACCCAAAACGGCCCCAGAAGGCCTTTCGACGGCCCAAGAAGGTCCCGCGACGGCCCCCAGACCCCCACCATACGCTAAGAGGGCCGTAGGACGGCCCAACAAAGCCTCCAAGTCGGCGTGAGAGGGCCCCGACACGGCCTGTGAGACCCCCAAAGAGCACGGCCCAAGCGAGTTCCAGGAGATCTCTTCAAGTAGTGAAAACGAAAGGTGTCTCATGTGACGGCCTTCATCTTTCCTCCTCCTCCTCTCCCTCCTCCTCTTCTCCGCCTCCGCCTCATGTTCCTCCTCCTCCCCCTCGTCTTCCTCCTCCTCCTCCTCCTCCTCCTCTTCCTCCTCATCATCATCTTCCGCAGCATCATCATCAGCAACAGCATCATCAGCAATATCATCATCAGCATCACTACTACCATCATCATCACCATCAGCATCGCCACCATCATCATCCTCATAATCTCCACCATCATCATGGCCATCATCATCACCATCATCATCATCATCATCACCGCCACCATCATCGTCATGGTCGTCGCCGGCATCATTATAAATCCGCCGACCCTGTCGGCGTGTCTGACTTTCGAAGCCTGGACTGAGGGCGGGCCCCAAATGGAGGTGGCCCAGGGGAGCTGGGGCCCAGGCTCCGGGGAGGGGCCGACGGGGGCGAACCGCGACGAACCACGAACCACGACGAAAATAAAGATGTCCAGCCCAGGGGGGCTGCCCTGGGAAGCCTGGACGGAGTGGGGGCCCCAAGGAGGGGTGGCCCAGGGGGCGAACCGCGAACCACGAACCGCGACGAAAGTAAAGTGGAGGCGGCCCACGAACCACAATCTTCACATCTTCAAATCTTCAAACCCAAGAATTCCTGAGCAATCTTCAAATCTTCTAATCATTATACCCAAGGGTTCCTGAGCAATCTTCAAAGCTTGAAATCTTCATATCTTAAAATCTTCAAGCGCCCGAGATCAATCGTCAAACCTGCAAGTCTGCAGATGCTCGCAGTTCATGAAGGGGGGCGTGCCGAACCCTAAGAAGTAACATGTTCCTGTGTGGGGCGCATCTGGGCATGAAGAAACACCGCATTCGGCGCCATGCAGTGCACGAGTGAAATAATTTGCCTGAGTAGCTCACATATCGGCTCAAAAGGTGCACGCTTCCCTTTGCCATGGATGCCGCGGCGCATACTGTGTTTGATGATGATTTCAAGTACTACGGGCTCGGTGCTCAATGGCGACTGCAGCCCTCAGAGGACCCTCGTGCGATGGGCAGCACAGAGAGGCGCCGCTCGCCCCCGTTGCCCTCCCATTAACATCAAAAAAAGCTCCTGGTCGGCACTATGACTTCCACGATCGTCGCAAGCGCGCGCTCATTCTGAGGGGCGGCGGAATGGCGTGGGCCTCTTCCTCCTCTGTTGTTGTTCGCCCCATCTGCGGGCGGCGCTGCTGCTCCTGCTGCTCCTGCCGCTGCGGCTCCTCCTGCTGCTCCTCCTGCTGCTCCTGCCGCTGCTGTTGCTGCTCCTGCTGCTGTTCCTGCTGCTCCTGCTGCTCCTTTGTCGCTCCTCTTCGAATTGCTCCTGCTGCTGCTGCTGATGCTCCTTCTGTTTGTTTTGTTTGTCCAGTCGGTGTTCTCTCCTCCTCCTTCGCCCCCTCTCCTTCCTTCGCTCCTCTTCCTTCCCCCTGTTCCCCTGCCCTTCTTTTTTTCTCTCTCCTCTCCCTCCTCTCCTTGGCATCCTTCCTCCTATTCCTCCTCTCCTCTCTCTTCTCAGGCCCCCCTTTTTCTGCTCTGGCGGAGCTGGCGCTTTCGCTGCTGTTTCAGGAGATGCGACGGCGGCTGGCCCCTCTCCGCCACGAGAATGGCGACTTTCAGCAGAGAGAACCACGCAGAGTCATGACAATAACAACACCAGAAAGCTGATTTGTTTCGTCAAAGCAATGCCATAAGGGCCCTCGCAATAGAAATTCTGATGCACTAAAGAACGCACGGTTGTTGACTCCCCGCGATTCTCTGCGCGAGGTCGAGACGGATGAGACGCTCGAGATCGTCGATGTCCACCGCGAGAGGACGGCGCGAGGGAGGGGGGGGAAATAAAGAAAATCAGCAGCAACATGACGAGTTGGAGCAGGAGAAGAAAAGAGAGAAGTAGAGGGGGGGGGGGGGGGGGGGCGAAAGATGACCGAGGAGGCGGCGGAGTAGGCGCCTGGGAGCTCGCTCTCGCGCTGGGCGTCGGGCTCGGCCTCGGGCGGCGCGTCGAGCTTGGCGTCGAGCGCTTTGCTCGGTTTCGGCGGGTTTGCGGGCTGAGCGTCGGTCGTGGCCTCGGGATTTCGGCTCGGCTTCGGCGGGTTGAAGGGCCCGGCGCCGTGCTCGGCGTCGCGCACGGCCTCGGGCGCCGCGCGCAGCGCCGCGCGCAGCGCCTCCGTGGTGCTCTTCTTCGCGTCTCGCTGGGCGGCGGGCTGTTCGTCGGGCGGGCGCTCGCTCGCGGGCCAGTGGGTCGCGGGATTGAACGCCGCTGCCAGCTCCCGAGAAGAGCTGACGCAACCCAACCCTGAAATGACAAATCCTTTTTTTAAGGGCCGAGAAAGAAAAACACATATCCAATCTCGGTAAGGATGCAATGCATTCGGAATATGCACGGATGCACTCCCACATCTATCCTATGTGATCGCGATAGAATTATTACTCACTATCGTCAACATCATCACACTCACCATCATCATCATCAGCAGCATCATCATCGTCAGCACTATCAGCGCCATCGTCATCATCAACATCTTCAGTATCATCAACAACATCATCATCATCATCCTCATCCTCATCCTCATCATCATCATCATCATCATCATCATCATCATCATCATCATCATCATCATCATCATCATCATCATCATCACCACCGACACCATCCTCATCAGCATCATCATCTTCCGCCGTATTATCAGCATGCCTATCACCATCAGTACCATCGTCAACATCATGTAGCTCCCAATCATCACCATCATCAGCATCATCATCGTCGCAGCTCTCCCAATGCTGGAGACACAAAGTGGCACGTGTGGCGGCCCCCCATGCCCCCCCAAGAGTGGCCACAATGCTTGGTTGGCACCGTGGCGGGACTTGCCGCAGGCAGCTGAATGATGCCACCGAACAGCAGCAGCAGCAACCACACAACGGCCACCGAATAGCGCCAAGCACGCCCAGCAGCGAGGTCGCGCGACCGTGACTGCGTGGTGCTGGGCAAGCCGAGGAACAGACTGGAGTCGCCAGCGCAGAGCCACTTTCGCGAGCAAGTGTACGAAGACAGTGGCGACGTGCCCATGACGGCGTCGCTGTCTTCGAAACACGTGCAGGTGGTGGGCTCCGGCGACGGGGCGCAAGTCAGAAGGTCGGACGGCGGCTCGGGAAACTCGTACCCGACGGGCCCAGGCTCATAGATGACCAAGCCCATGCCGTCGGAGAGGTGCATGTGGATGTGGCAGTGAAAGATCCACCAGCCTGGGTTGTCAGCCTGGAATCTGAGTCGCAACCAGCCACCTGCCGGGATCGTCACTGTGTCCTTGAGCACCGCCGTCTGCGCATGCGCGGCAGAGGACCTGGAATTCCCGGGTATGCCCTCGAAGCAATACATGATGGAGCACGATGCGAAGTCCACAGCGGCTTGCTCCATGACCACGAACTTGTGGCCATGCATGTGCCATGGGTGTGCGTACTTGTCGACATTCCTGAGTAGCAACTCCACGATCGTGCCGCTCACCGCGGTAAGCGTGACCGTGGCTGGCGTCAGGTGGTCCTCACCATGAATCATGGGGGGCAGATTGGGCAAGGCTCCCTGGACCCATTGGCCCGAGAAAAACTCATCTGCCGTCCACGCATCGCCTGTCCGGTCTGCCCCGTCAAGCTTCACAAAGTGGCCGAAGTTCGGTGGTGAGGTGAACCTTGCATCGATGGTGTGCATCACGATATCCCCCTGCTGGCGGCAGCGACAAAGACGGCGGCGGCGGCAACGGCGGCGACGGCGGCGGCGGCGACGGCGACGGCGGCGACGGCGACGGCGACAGCGACGGCGACGAAGACGACGACGACGACGACGACGAACTCTCCAGCAGCACCATGGTCCCAACCGTAGGTCTCTCCAGCACGCGCATGCCTCCGCAACGCAGTCAAAAGCAAACACCCGCTGCGAGGCCGGCTGCGGTCCCACACGCAGTTCAGCGTCTTTGGGTTCTGATGAGGGCACTCCTTCTGTGGCAACTCATGGGAGCCTCCCGTAATCCCACCAGCCCTCTGGGCGTAGGTGGTCTAGAACAGATCCTCTTCCACCCCTCCCTCTTCCCCCTTGGGGAGGGGTTTACCCCTCCCCCTACCCCCTCCCCTGGACCTGGACGGGGGGGGCCGCGGGTAGTTAGAGCGTCCAAGATGGCCCAAGACGGCTCCAAGAGCGCCTCAGAGAACCCAAGATGAGCTCCAAGATGGCTCAAGATAGCGCAAGATCGCTCACGATGGCTCCTAAGATGGTTCCAAGAAGCCCAAAGACGGCCCCAAGATAACTCCAAGTGGCCAAACAGCTCCCCAAGGAGGCCCCGAAGAGGCCAAAATCGTCCCAAAACCTAAGGAAAATCAATGATTTTTGCTTTCTCGCCTTTTCGCTTCCGATGGCTATCCGAGGCCTGGAGATGGCTCCAAGATGGCCCAAGAGGGCCCCAAGAGAGCCCCAAAAGAGCCCCAAGACGGCCCCAAGAGCGCCCAAGAGCACTCCAAGAGCGTTCCAAGAGGGGTCCAAGAGGCGATTTTAGGGGCTTCCGAGGGGGGGCGCTAATTAAACCCCCCCTCTTGTTTGATCGACTCCCTCCAAGATGGCCCCAAAAGCGCCCCGAAGGCTCCCCAGAGCGCCTCAAGAGGGTCCCAAGAGGCGCCCAAGATGCCCCAAGGCGCCCAAAAAGCCCTCCAAGAGGCCCTCAAAAGACCCCCAAGAAGCTCCTTCCCCTCCTCCTCCTCCTCCTCCGATTCTTCCTCCTTCTCCGTCCTCCTCCTCCTCCTCCTCCTCCTCCTCTTCCCCCTCCTCCTCCTCCTCCTCCGACGACGACGACGACGACTCCTCTTCCATCCTCCCCCTCTCGGGGTCTGTGACAGCTTCCCCCGCCCTTTGTTATTCTGCATGCTCCCCGACTTCCCTGATCACCTCAACTCCCCTGAGCATCGTTTCTGGATGGGCTGGTGGGGATACGCGAAGCGTCAACAATTACCATCTTGTCGACCCTTGCGAGTCGACGCTCAATCGACGCTAAGTCGTTCCTAACCGACGCGAGAGCGGCGCTACCTCATCGACTCCCAGACGCTCAATCAAGATCCGATCGGCCCACGGATCCATGATCTCCTCCTCCTCCTCCCCACCCTCCTCCTCCTCCTCCTCCTCCTCCTCCTCCTCCTCCTCCTCCTCCTCCTCCTCCTCCTCCTCCTCCTCCTCCCCCTCCCCCTCCTCCTCCCAGACGGCCACGATCTCCATGACCCGATCGGGTCGTGCCGGCGACCAGGCTCCCATGACTTGCCACCGGGCACTCCTCCGGCGGCCCCGCCTCGCCCAGGTGGAGTGCGGTCGAGAGGCCCCCCTGCGGCATCGCGCCGAGGGCCGCGGCGCGGACCCAGAAGCTCGTTCGGGATGCGCAGGCCTTGGTAGGGCGACGAGATCTATGCATATCCACTGCTCCTGGCCAGGCCAATCCTGGGCCCAGGAGCGGTGTATACGCCCTCCTGGCCTGGCCAGGGAGGCATATACACAGCTCCTGGGCCCAGGATGGGCCTGGCCAGGAGCAGTGGATATGCATAGATCTCGTCGCCCTACTTGGCTGCTCACCCTGGGGACCTTCCTGGAGCCACTCGCCCCGCGCTTGCGTCGGAGCTGCGTCGAACGTCCGTCGACTCGAGCCGGTCGTGAGTCGAACCTGAGTCGAAGCTGAGTCGAACCCGAGTCGAACTGGAGTCGAACTGGGGTCGAACAGATCCGCTGGGTGGGCCCCAGGCAGATCCCCAAAGCGAGCATCTGGCAAGCCTCACTCCGCCGGACGAGGACGACGTCGTAGCGCTCGCCGTTGCTGATCTGGATGCTGTCCACCTCCAGGGGCTCGGTGTCGGCCCCATCGGTCTGGATGACAAGCAGGGCGTGGCCGTCGACTGAGAACTCGATCGGGAACACCCATCCACCATTGATGACCCGAAGGCGGTAGCGACTCCCGGGCTGCATGGCGAGGGGGGCCACTGCTGCACCACCCCGCCCGTTCAGGAGCATGCCCTGGTAGGGGAACGTCCCAACACGTATCCCATCGGCATCAGTGGTCACTGGCCCGAGCTGACCACCCAGGCGCCCCATGTACAACTCGTGCTGGCTTTGGTGCCACCAGTCAGTGTAGAACAGCACCATCTCCTCGTCGTAGAGATCGTGGTGCAGCTCGTTCGACCCCAGAGGTGGGTGGACAATGAGCACGCCTTTCATCGAATCAATGGAGCTGAGGTGCGACAAGTCTGTGTGCGGATGGTACCAATAGGTGCCAGGATAATCTTGCACGCTGAAGTCATACAGGAAAGTGTGATTCGGCGCGATCGCACACTGCGTCAGGCCTGCTACGCCGTCCATAAAAGGTTCGCTCCTGTACTCGAGGCCATGCATGTGGAAACTGATCGGTACATGGAGCCCGTTCTGGACCTCGATCTGCAACTGGTCACCCCGGTGAACCTCGATCGTCGGTGCGTTCACCTCCTGGTTGATGCCTGCAACCAGGACCTCGATACCATCCGGGTCGGCGAAGAATTCAGAGAGGTGGAAGACGTGACGAACGATTGTTTTGCCGATCACCAACCTCCATGAGCATAAACAACACTTAAAAAGGACCAAAGGAACGGCTGGCCGCCGCAAGACCCTCGGGTATTATAACTTATAAGAAAGTATTAGAAGTAATTGGTGCTTGTCCACAGGACCGACTGTGCGCGAACCTGATGCTAGAGCCAAAAGTGGCATCGGACGAACGTGTTAACAATCATTGAGGACTCGCTGCTCTCGTCCGCAGACGAGGACGACCCGCCGATTCCAGCTGAAGTCATTGAGGACTTGCTTCCCTCGTCTGTTGAACTCTCCTCCAACGACCTCCCGAACCTCCCAGGAGACCTCAAACGACCCCTGAAATCATGCAGGACGTTTGGGTCGTTTCGGCGTCTTCGTGGGGTCGTTTCGGCGTCTTCGTGAGTCGTCCATTGGGGGGCCTCTTGGGTCGTTTCGGCGTCTTCGTGTGGGCCTGTTGGGGCGATGTTTGGGTGTCCAAGACCGTCTTGGAGCGTCGGGAAACTGAACAAGCAGAAACGGGAAAATCCATCGAACACGTAAGGAAATCAATGGTTGTGGCTTCTTCAGGACCTTTTGGGAATGCTCTTGGAGACATCTTGGGCCGTGCTGGGAGCCTTGTGGGCCATCTGGAGGCCATCTTGGGCGCGTTCGAGCGATATTTCCGCGATTGTGGCCCTCTTGGAACCCTCTTGCGGCCCTTTTCATCTGTGTTGGGGCTGTCTTGGGTCGTCTGGGGGTGTCCCTGGGCCGGCTCGGCGCCCTCGTGGGAGTCTGTTTGGATGATATGTGGGTGTCCCGGACAGTTTTGGAGCGTCGGGACGCTGAACAGGCAGACGCGCTAGAATCTACCAAAACCCGTAGGACAATTTATGATTTTGGCTTCTTGGGGCTCTTGGAGGAATGCTCTTGGAGACACCTTGGGCCGTGTTGGAAACCTTGTGGGTCATCTGGAGGCCATCTTGAGCGCGTTCGAGCGATATTTCCGCGATTGTGGCCCTCTTGGAACCCTCTTGCGGCCCTTTTCATCTGTGTTGGGGCTGTCTTGGGCCGTGAGGGGGCGTCCCTGGGCCGTCTCGGCTCCCTCGTGGGAACCAATTTGGACGATATGTGGGTACGTCGGGAAGTTCAAAAGGCAGAAACGCTAAAATCTACAAACAAAACCATAGGAAAGTCAATACTTTTGGCTTCTTCAGGCCCTTGGAAGAGTGCTCTTGGAGACCCCTTTGGGCCGTGTTGGAAATCTTTTTGGGCCATCTGGAGGTCATCTTGGGCGTGTTCGAACGATATGTCCTCATATCGAGACCTCTCGCGGCCTTTTTCATATGTGTTTGGGCTGTCTTGGGCCGTCTGGGGGCAACCCTGGCGGCCCGGTGCTACCATGCGCAGCCGGGGGGCCCCCTCCCGGGCCCTCCTGCCGCGTGCCCAAGGATATATATATATATATATATATATATATATATATAGAACCACGCGCGCGCTTCGCGCGCGCTTAGGTTCTAGTTTGCTCCGAAAACGGTGTTCGCAAGCACGGGTCCGATTCCGTGGCGATTCGCGGGAAATCTACGTCCGAAAATGACGTGTTGCCAGAGGCAGGTCCGCGGATGCTTTAATGCAACGTGTCCAGTGTATCCAACGATTGCATACTTGTTACATATGCTACATATTGTATTGTTCTGCAATATTATGCCCCCCCCCTTGGAGCCGCGCCACATCGTCGGACCAAATCTGGAGGGCCTCATTCTGGGCCTCAAAACATAGAAAGACCTATGGAAAATCAACAATTTCGGCCTCTTGGGCCTCTTGGGACTCCAAGAGGGCCTCAAGATGGCCGACGATGGCCCCAAGACAGCCCAAGACGGCCTCAAGACGGCCCAAAATGGCCCCAAGAGGGCCCATGAGGCTCCCAAGAAGATCCACGAGAGCACTCAAACCCGAACAATCTTTCCATGACACCCTCACCCTTAGACCCGAACCTTGAGACCGAAGACCCGAGCCCAGAAATCGAACCCGAACGCCTCAACATCTCAAATGAAGAGGCTCATCCCCGCTCCACCGGTTCCTCCTTCCTTCTGAATCCTTCCTTCTTCCACTTGCTCAAACTCCTCCTCCTCCTCCTCCTCCTCCTCCTCCTCCTCCTCATCGCCCTCCTCCTCCCACTTCTCCTCCTCCTCCTCCTCCTCCTCCTCTCCTCCTCCTTCTCCTCCTTCTCCCCCTCCTCCTCCTCCTCCCCCTCCTCCTCCTCCTTCTCCTCCTTCTCCTCCTCATCCCCGTCCCTCCCCTCCCCCTCCTCGTCCTCCCCATCCCCCTCCAATGCGCCGGGCCGGGCATGGTATGGAAACTGCCTTCGCCGACCTCTGCCGCCTTGCCTCTTGGGGCCTCTTTGGGGCCTCTTAGGCACCTCTTGGAAGCCTCTTGGGGGCCTCTTGGGGGCCTCTTGGGGCATCCTGGGGCCTTCTTGGGGTTGTCTTGGGGCCCTCTCGGGCCGTTTTGGGGGCCTCTTTGGCCGTCTTGGCGCCCTCTCGGGCCGTCTTGGGCGCCTCTTGGGAACCTCTTGGGCCGTCTTGGGCGGACTGGGAGGCCCGGGGGCCGCCCGAGGAGCGTCCCAGGAAGCCCTCCTAGGCCCTCTTAGCGCTGTCCTCAGGCGTCCTGGGGCGTCCTTGGGCGCCTCCTGGGGCTGTCTGACAACTCGGACAGCCAAGGGATGAGATATCCTAAAAATGTACGTTTTACTACGGGAATGGGGCCATTTTGGTTTCCCGGGGCGCTCTTGGGGGGCCTCTTGGAGGCCTCTTGGGGCGGTTTGATGGCCTCTTGTCCCTTCTGGAAGCGATCTTTGGCGGTCTTGAAGCGATCCTGGGCTTCTCTCGGCGCTCTTGGAGCCTTCTTTGGCGGACTGGGAGGCCCGGGGGCCGCCCGAGGAGCGTCCCGGGAGGCCTTCCTGGGCTGTCTTCGGGCTATCCTAGGGCGCCTCGTGGGGCTTTCGGACCGCTCCGACAGCCAAGGGAGCTGATATCCTAAAAATGTACGTTTTACGAAGGGAATGGGGCCATTTTGGTCTCCCGGGGCGCTCTTGGGGGGCCTCTTGGAGGCCTCTTGGGGCGGTTTGATGGCCTCTTGGCCCTTCTGGAAGCGATCTTTTGCGGTCTTGAAGCGATCCTGGGTTCTCTCGGCGCTCTTGGAGCCTTCTTGGGCGGACTGGGCAGCCCGGGGGCCGCGGAGGAGCGTCCCGGGAGGCCCTCCTGGGCCGTCTTGGGGCTGTCCTCAGTCGTCCTGGAGCGTCCTTGGGCGCCTCGTGGGGCTTTCTGGCCGCTCCGACAGCTAAGGGAGCTGATATCGTAAAAATGTACGTTTTACGAAGGGAATGGGGCTATTTTGGTCTCCCGGGGCGCTCGTGGGGGGCCTCTTGAAGGCCTCTTGGGGCGGTTTGAGCGCCTCTTGACCCTTCTGGAAGCGATCTTTGGCGGTCTTGAAGCGATCCTGGGGTTCTCTCGGCGCTCCTGGAGCCCTCTTGGGCGGGCTGGAACGCGCGGGGGCCGCCGGAAGGGCGCCCTGGGAGAGGGCCGCACCCTATATACAAGGGAGGTTCCGGCCCGGGGCCCGGGGCCCGGGATCTCCCATATATGTATATACACACACGTATGTATAGTATGCCGGATATAGAATACACACGAATAGATGTGTATCTATATCTACATACATATACATGCATAAGCCTCCCACTCCTCCACTGCAGCCCCAAGAGGGCGGCCTTGAGCCCCGTCCACCGCACCACCGCGTCCAGGTCCAGGTCGACCCCGCCCGCGCTGGCCGCTGGCGCCCGAGCGCCGCCGCCGCCGCCCCGGCTCTCCGCGCCGCCGCGGCCTCCCGCCGCACGCGGCGAGCCGCCGGCCGAGCTGGCGCCGCTCGTGGGCCCTCGCCGGCGGGGCGCCGCACACGGCGCCAGCGGCGGCGCTCCGCCGCGGTCCAGCGGCGGCCCCCGCTGCTGGTCGCGGCACGGCCAGCCGCGGCAGCGCTGCGCCGCGGTGCAGCGGCGGCCGCGCTGCGCCGCGGCGCCGCGCTGGCAGCCGCGCCGCCGCGGCCAGCGGGCGGCGCTGGCGGGGAGCCGCGCTGCGCCTCGGGCTCGTCCTGAGGGCAGCCACGCGTGGCCCAAGATCTCTGACGAAGACACGTTTCCAATCCGGGCGTTTATTCCTGGGTGTTGGCCTGGGGGGGGGCCCTTCATCGGGCCCCGGGACCAAAATCGGATCCGTGGCGAAAAACTGGCCCCGAGGAAGGGGTCGGGACGGGGCCGCGCGTTGAAAAAAATCTCATCGGAAGGGGGGCCCTGCCCCTGAACCTGCTTCACGCAAGAGCGGCCCTGGGCAAGGGTGACCTTGGGTGCGCGGCTCCTAGGGGGAGCGGGGAGGTCAGACCCAAGCGCGCAATCCGCTGCTATCGCATCGCGTCCAGGGAACGGAGGACACCAGTGGGACCGCGCCAAAGGTCACTCCAGCGAAGGTACGTGCAGTCGAAGCGCCAGCCAGGTCAGAGTTCGAAGGACGTCTGCAGCCAGGTGAGCCCCAGCAGGGGTGACCGATACCCCAGCGTCGAGTGGACCCGCAAGGGCAGGGTTCGAAACCAGGCGAAGATCCTGTGCCCAGGATCAGTGCCCACACATCCCTGGCCAAGCCAGGAGGCGCACCCAGACAATCGCCGGTGTGATGTTTCCAATCCACGATCCCTGACCACGAGACCTCCCCCCTTCGAGGAGACAACGACCACGACCACGACGACGACGACGACGATGCCGACGACGACGACGACGACGACGTCGACGACGACGGCGGCGG